ATCCTTTCAAAACATTATTTTCAAAATACATATTTATTTGAAAGGCTGAGTAACACATAGATAAGAACAGGGAGGGAGAAAGGGAGAGAAGGAGAGAAAGAGAGAGAGAATTTTCCATCTGCTGGTTCACTCCCCAAAAGCCAAAACAGCCAGGGCTGGACCAAGCCAAAAGCCAAAGCAAGGAACTCCATCCTGGTCTCCCACTTGGGCCCCTTCCAATACCTTCCCAGGCACATTAGTAAGAAGTTGGATTGAAGCACAGTGGCCAGGACTCAATTAGCGCCCTAGTACAGTATGCTGGTGTCACAGCAGATCTCAATTCATTGCACCACAATGTCAACCCCCTATTCTGAACATTTAAAACAAAAGGAAAAATAAAACAACAACAACGAAAGGAGCCATTCAGGGTGTGGTCTTCTGTGACCAGCTTCTTTCTCTTATACATTCAGATTATCCACATGGAGACATTTTTAATGGAGACATTACTCCATTACCTATATTAGCTAAGCATAGAATCCTGCTTTTATGAATATATCATATTATATGTATGCATTTATCAGGAATATTTGGGTCATTTCCAGTTTTTCATTCTCTTAAATAATGCTGTATGCACATTTGTGCGCACATTTTTGTATAGGCACGCTTTCATTTCCCTCAGGTATGGATCTAGGAGTGGGATTGCTGGGCTTTGTGGTAACTCCATGTCTAACTTTTTGCAAAATTGCTCAACTGCTTCCCAAAGTGGCTGCACGATTTTATATTCCCACTAGCAATGCATGAAGGCTCCAGTCTCTCCACACCCTCATCAATGCTAACTTTTTGATGCCAGGCACCCTAGTGGATACAAAGTGAGAATCTCAATGTGGTTTGTTTTCCTGGTGGCTAACTTAACTGATGATACTGAGCCTTTTTACATGTGCTTACTGCTCAATTTTGTATCTCCTTTCAGCAAATTTCTGTGCAAACTGCCCATTAAAAGTTTGTATTTGATTGTTTAAAAAAGATTTATTTATCTGAAGGAGAAACACACACATATACAGACACACATACAGAGGGAAGGAGAGAGGGAGGGAAAGAAAGGGCTAGCCCGGGGTTGAAGCCAGAAGCCAGAACCAGGTACTCCAGCCCAGTATCCCAGGTGGAAGCTAGGACCCAGACTGCAGCCATCTTCTGTGCCTCTCAGTGCGTATCAGCAGAAAGCTGGATCACAAGCGAAACAGCCAAGATTTACAGGATGACTAAGACCTAGACTGAGTTCCCAGCGCCTGGTTCAGTCCAGCCCAACCCCAGCCATCGCAGGCATTTGGGGAAGGAACCAGAAGATGGGAGTTCTCTGTCTCTATCCTTCAAAAAGAATTTATTTTGGTGTAAAAATATGTTGGTAATCCTTGCATACCCAAAGTTTTTGCCACTCTGAGTTGTTCTCTTTGTCATGATGGTGTCTTTTATAACATGAACATTTTAATTATTTTCTTTCATGGCTGTACCTTTGGTGTTACATCTAAAAACTTATTGCTTCATCTGGTACCACAACAAATGACATAGGAAAGAACAAATCGATCAACTACCCTAGCCATGTGTTGGCAGTGAATACCTGGGCAAACGGAGACTCTAAGGTGGACTGTGTCAGCCAGGGGATTCTGGAGAGATTTCATCGTTCTTGGAATGGCGAGACTGGCAGCAATTTACAAATGTTGAACTATCAAAACCACTTGAGTGGTGCCCTTGAAGCATGTCCCACGTCAGGGACCCTGGAACGGGTAGGAGGCTGGGTGGGGCTTCCCCTTTATCTCCTGCCTTCTCCCAGATACAGAAAAAAAATGTGGAAACAATGGTCTTACCCACTTTCCTGTAGCCCTTGACCCTTTGTGCCCTAATAAACTATGTAAAGATTATAAAAATAAAATAATTTAAAAAAAACTTAATGCTTCATCTGAGGCTGTTACAGGGATTTTGGAAGTGAGCTAGCAGATGGAAGGTATCGATCTCTTTGCCTTTCAAATGAAATGGGAAAAAAAAACGCAGTAATTCTTCAGTTATTTGCCTTCAATCCTGAGACTTAATTATATAAACAAAGCATCAAAAATAAGCAAGAAACTAAATAAAGTCTTTAAATTGGATGTTTATTTGTTAACTTTCACAATATTTATTCCTTTTCTCAAACTAAGAGCCCAAATTACACATCCATTCTTTTTTTCCACATGACAGTTGGACTCATCCTAGGCTAAGTACAGCAACATATTTATTGTAAGATTTGCACTTGGTTTTGAGGCCAAACAATATTAACACATTCTCAAAAGAGAGCCATGTCCTCATATGCAGCCTAATTGCCCATGACATCATCAAGGACATAACATCATCTATTAAGTATCAATTAAAGATGCAATTACCTTGAGGAAAGAATCAGACAAATCCAAAACATAGGCCATTTCTACATACTAAATGTCTTGTATTCTTCAAAATCAGGACGATGAAAAACACGAGGAAGGGTTATGCTAGAGTAAGAGACTAGAGCCACGAACAACAAAAGCAATGTGTGCTTCTCAAGCTAGCTCTGGAGCTCCCGAGCAGTTTAGATTTTGGGATTAAGTACCCTCATGTGTAATCCTGGTTCTGCAATGTTTCACGTGAATTTGAGAAGTAAGTTTATTTGTGTTTTTTTTATTATTGTTGTTATTATCAGTTTCCTTCTTTCTTTTTAAAAAGATGTATTTGATTTATGTAAAAGGCAAGGTCACAGAGAGGGGGTGAAGGAGAAACAAAGAGACCTTCCATCTGCTGGCTCACTCCCCAAAATGGTCACAGTAGCCAGGGATGAGCCAGGCCAAAGCCAAGAGTTGGGTTCATGTCCCAGTTGTTCTACTTCAGATTTAGTCCCTACTTTTGGCCTAAAAAAGAAAAAAAGTATAAGATGGTTTAAATGTTTGGACCCAAATAAAACCTCTGGCTTTGGCCTGGCCCAGCCCTGGCCACAGTGGCTACCTGGGGAGTGAACCCATGGATGGAAGATCTGTCTCACCCTCTCTGCAATTATTTCAAATACAAAAATCTTAAAATTAAAAAAAAAAATGTACTTACAGAAAGACAGCACTATGCCAGGCAATTTTGACTAATGGAATGAATGCCTCACTGCACTCTGGGAAGCCAATACTAGAGCAGATTAATCTGCTGCCTATGATACTCATGGTTACGAAATGTGGGTTCAAGCCCTGGCTGCTCTGCTTCCCTGCTAACGTGCCTGGGAAAGCAATGGAAGAAGACCCAAGCACTTGACTCCCTGTGACCACACAGCAGATCCACATGGGCTTCCTCATTCCTGGCTTTAGCTTAGCAGGTTCTAATCCTGCCATGTGGGCACTGGTTCTAGTCCTGGCAGCCCCACTTACCATCTAGCTCCCTGCTTGTGGTCTGGGAAGGCAGTCGAGGATGGCCCAAAGACTTTGGACCCTGCACCCAAGTGGGAGAGCCAAAAGAAGCTCCTGGCTCCTGGCTTTGGATTGGCTCAGCTCAGGACATTGCATTCACTTGGGGAGTGAATCATCAGACGGAGATCTTCCTTTCTGTCTCTCCTCCTCTCTGTATATGATTTTGCAATAAAAACAAATCTTAAAAAAAGAAAAGAAATGCAATGTGGAACAGGCTTAGGTACCTCAGAATTGCCAAAGCAGGTGAAGGAATGTTCCTCAGAGGCCCTTTCCATCCTAACCTCTCTAACTACAAAAGTTACCTTTCTGTTTTTTTAAATCATTTTTACGTATTGATTTAACATAAAACTAAATTTTCAGAAAATACTTGATGCCTTTAGAAATGGTTGAAAACCACTGTTCTAACAGAAGAAATAAAAACTGCCAGGCAGCTACTGCTACTACTATCATTAAAATAACTGGGGGAGTCATGGTGCAATTTTGTCAAAACTTACTTGAAAAGCAGAGTTACAGCACTGGCCCCATGATCTAGTTTTTATTCTAGTAACCATATGTTTAACAGAAATCACAACCTAGTTCTCACCTCTCAAAAATGATGAAATGTTTTCTATGATAATTTTAACATAATCTACCCAATAAGTATTTGCTATGTGTAACAAACATAGTGGTATTTTTTTTAACTTCAAGGTAAAGAGCACCTTGAGCGTCAGCAGCGAAGTATCCAGAAATGTGACTCTGACAAATGGCTAAAAAGAGAAAAGGTAGGGACGCCACAGTCAGGGAACACAATAGGTTTAAACGGATGGGATGAGTACCCAACAGCTACCGCCGAATGGCTGCATAGGTTAATGCTATCCTCACAACCATCAGACGTTACGGCCACGCATGTCCACATCACAAGACTCTTGAATGGCCGAGCCAGATGTGAAACTGAGCTGGCCCGATTTCAAAGCCGAGGTTCAGACTTGGAGCAGGTACATGCACAGAAGAGACGTGCAGAGGGCAGAGGCTCCTGGAGGGGTTTGTGTGACAGCTCGCTCGTTCACCTCACCCGAGGACCACCTGCGAAGGGTGTGGCGCGGACGCACGACCTCAAAGTGCGGACATCCATCCCAGGTCCTGCCCCTGAATGGGCAACCACCCAGTGAGCCAACATCTCGAGTTCGCTCCCCACCCTCCTGCTGGCCCCTGCGGCACATTCCACGCCTCCTCGTGGCCGTGGCCGACCCGGCGTCTTCCAGCTGTCTGCGCCTTTTGGAGACCGTTAGACGGCGCCCTTGATTCAGGCCACACCTCAGGGAGACGGCCCCGGCTTCCGCCACTCCCGCCGCCATTTAACTTCCCCCGAAGCCCCGACCAGCAGACGCAGCCTGTGGAAGAGGGCGCGTTCCGCACCCGTGACCGCGGGCCGCGGGCGGGGCCTCGGCGCTCCTCCCTTGATGAGTGGCGCTCACAGCTGCCAGTCATAAGCCTTCTCCGTTCTGTCCCACCCCTTCCGCGCAGGCGTTCTGCTAAATGACGGGCGGGGACCGGCAGCGACTTCCGGCTGGGGGAATAAAGTTAGGGCGGAGGTGGGGCTGCGAAGGAGGAAGAAGGAGAGCTGGGCGGCGGCGGCTGTAGGTTGCACGACGGTGGCGGCAGTCCCCAAGGCCGACGATGGACAGCCAGGGCAGGAAGGTGGTGGTGTGCGACAACGGCACCGGGGTAAGCGCCGGGCGAGGAGGCCGCGGCGGCCACAGGCCTGGGCGGCGATGCTCGGGGGGTCGCGCGGCCTCGGGCGCTGGACGTCCGGGGCCCTCGCGGCCGGCCATGGACACTGCGGCTGCGGGGAGCAAGCGGATCGGGCGCTGGGCTCTCCCGGCAGCCCTTCGGGGCGGGGCGGCGGGCGAGCTTCCACCTGCTGCCCGCTTGGGGCCGGCTCCGTGTTCGCGGGGGCGCAGCCTGGCTGGAGGACGGGGCCGGGGGGCGGGGGGCGAGAGGCCGGGGTCGTGTGCTCGGAGCGAGGGGGCTGCAGCCCCCAGGGTCGTGGCTGTGCGGAATGGAGAAACACCTTAGAGGCCTTCCTCTTCCTGTATGGTGGAAGATGCGGAACGCGAGGCAGGAAGTGGGCTGAGAGCAGAAAAAGGAAGCGCTGTCAAGCCAGGGGCCACGGCCCTTTCTCAGTGGTGGGGGGCCGCAGTGTTGGTGGGTTTGCTCTTTCTTTTTGGAAGGGAGGTGGCGGCTAAATGAAGCGTGTATGTTCTCCGTGCTGGTGGCTTGGTCCAGGTGCAGCCCTGTAGAGACCAGCATGTTCCATTGGGTGACCCCTCCAGCCCCAGTGTTAGTTCCGCTGACCGAGAGGGAAGTTGATCAGTGTAGGTGGTCTCCGACCCCGTTTTCCTCCCTTAGGTTGAGAATACAGATAATGATAGTCTTCAAATATTGCAAGATACTGGCTTAGAAACCTTTTAAAAATGACAAACATTTAATAAAAATGCATTTTTGAACTTGAGTAAGGTCGGCAAACGAGGAGAGAAAATGTGTGAGTGAAGTTTTTATGAGTTCTGTAGTGATTTCTGGAGCTATTTTCGTGCTGGAACTTTTTTTTTTTTGTATGTGTGTGATTTTTTTTTTCTCCCCTCCCTTCCATAAATGTGACATAGGACTTAAAGATTTTCCTCAAACTTTAGTTTGGAAATTGCATTGTTGAGGGGGAAAAAGAAAAGCTGATATTCATTATCCTAACTGCCACTGCCCTTGATTGAACTCAGCAGATTTTTAACAAGCAGTAATTATATTGGCTTCATCTGAACTAAATACGCCAGGACTTAATATTACAGTAAAAATATCGTAATGGGACGTCCGTAGAGAGCACTTCATTTTTTTATTTTAAAAGATTCATTATTTGAAAGAGTTAGAAATATCTTCCTACAGCTAAAGCTCACAACAGCCAGAGCTGAGCCATTTTTCTGGGTCTCCCTTGTGGGTGCAGGGTCCCAAGGGTTTGGACCATTCTCTGCTACTTTTCTAGGCCACAAGCAGGGAGCTGGATGGGAAGTGAAGGAGCTGGGACACCCACCAGAGTCCCTAAGGGATGCCAGCAGCAGTGTCGCCCACTGCAGCGCTACTCCGTCCCCCGAGGACACTTTGCAAAGGGAGCAGGTGCACTGCCATAGAAATGTACTGTTTTACTGTTAATTTGCAAACAGGCTTATCATTCTGCTTATGTGTGTGTTCTTCATCAGAAGACAATCTGTTCACAAACTTGTGCCGGTGTGTAGAAGTTTTGTGGGAACCGTTGTAAATGGTCCTTATGAGTCAAGGATGAGAGAGTGAAAAAAGGGAGGCCTTCACAACCTTTCAGAATTACTGGGAAAATGTTTTGATTTTTATCAGATCTTATGTTGCTATACTGTGTTTAAACTAAGTCAGCTACAGACATGTCAGTTTTGTAGTTAAAACTCAGTTAAAGGTACTTTTAGAAAAAGATTAGCCTGATTTCCATTGTAGGAAATTGTAAAACTAGAAATTGATTTAAAATACTTTGTGACTGTCAACTTTATTTAGAAACTCAAATCAGTTACATTTGTGTAAATTCCTGCCCTGAGTGATTCTAGGTACAGAATCTGTTATATATTTGTAGTATGTGACAGTTTTCCATGTTGGAATAGGAATGATAACTATGGCTAGTTTTTATGCAACTATTTTTAGGTTACATTTAAAAGCTGAATGTAGGGCACAGCGCAGTGGTCTATCGGCTAACGTTCTCGCCTTGAACTTGCCAGGATCCCATATAGGTGCTGGTTCTAATCCCGGCAGCCCCACTTCCCCTCCAGCTAAAGCCTTGGGACCCTGCACCTGTAGGGGAGACCTGGAGGAGGACTCCTCTGAGCTCCGGCTTTTGCATCTGCTTGGCGAGTGAATTAAATGGATGAAGGATCTTCCTGTCTCTCCTTCTTTCTGTAAATCTTTCTAATAAAAATAAAATAAATCTTGGTTGTGTTTTATTGATTAGTTTTGTATCTGCTTCTTAATTTTGAAGTCTTGTTGCTTAAGTCAAAAGATGAGTGACTTTGGCATAAATACAAAAACGAGTGTGTTTGGTGTTACACTTCTGATTAGGTTTTTGTCCAGATTTCCTATAGACGTGGTTGACTTCAAATAAGGAGCAGTTCTGATAGAACATGGGAGGCATGGGGGGCATTTGGTGCAGTGGTCAGACCACTGTGTGGCTAATATCCTAGTGCCTGGGTTCAGGTCTTGGCTGTGCTGATAGCATTTCTGCTAGTGTGTGCCTGGGGAGGCTTTGGGTCATGGCTGTAGTAATTGGGTCTTTGCCACCCGCGTGGGACCTGGATTGATTTCCCAGCTCCTGGCTTTTATCTGGCCTAGACCTACCAGTTGTGGGATTTGGGGGAGTGAGGGGAGTGAAGTTATGGATAGGAAGTCTTTTCCTCTGAATCAAGTATATAAACTAAAAAAAAAAAAAGTGAATATTATAACAAGAATGCTGTGGTGTTTCTGAAAATTTAGACAACTAGAAACCTATTAAATAAGATATATATGTATGTATGTGTATTTATATATATATAATTTATTTTTACTGGAAAGATTTTTTTTTTAAAGATTTATTTTTATTATTTTTTTCATTGGAAAGGCGGATATACAGAGAGGAGAGACAGAGAGGAAGATCTTCCGTCCGATGGTTCACTCCCCAAGTGAGCGCAATGGGCCGATACTATGCCGATCCGAAGCCAGGAGCCTCTTTCGGGTCTCCCACGCGGGTGCAGGTTCCCAAAGCTTTGGGCCATCCTTGACTGCTTTCCCAGGCCACAGGCAGGGAGCTGGAAGGGAAGCAGGGCTGCCGGGATTAGAACCGGCGCCCATATGGGATCCTGGGCGTGCAAGGTGAGGACCTTTAACCACTTGCGCCACTGCGCCGGGCCCTACTGGAAAGATTTTTAGAGTGAAGGAGAGACAAATCTTCCATCTGGTGATTCACTCCCCAAGTGGCTGTGACAGCTGAAGCTGAGCTGATCCAAAGCCAGGAGCTTCTTCTGAGTCTCCCACGCTAGTGCAGGATCCCAAGCCTCTGGACTGTCCTCGACTGCTTTCCCAGACCACAGACAGGGAGCTGGATGGGAAGCAGGATTAGAATCAGCATCCATATAGGATCCCAAGGCATGCAAGGCGAGGATTTTAGTTACTAGGCCACTGTGCCGGGCCCTTCAGTTTCATTTTTAAAAATTGATGGAAGGAGTAGTCGCCCTAAAGTGTTTCTGTGTGCTCCTTAAACATTTTAGGGTTTAAAATTATAGGCAGTTTGAGAAGGGTTTTTTTGTTGGTTGGTTGGTTTTTTTTTTTTTACCCTTCTTGCAAGAGCCAATCTGAATGGTCACTTGCCAGATGTAGGGCCCACTCCACTTGCTCACTATCATCCTAGGCCTCCTAACAGCCTAAACCTACCCTGAAAGGTGGAGCCATTAGAAGTGACCACGTAGATGAAAAAATGGAGACTGGTGAAGCCCCAGGTTTAGGTCCCTTTCAAGAGGTGGGCCAAGACCTCTGGTGCTGTATGCCCTGCTGCCAAACACAACGAACAATAGAACTTCCTTAGTGCTTTGTGTTTCATGGGCACAATGCTGAACAAGGTCTAGTTTAAAAAGCAGCTTACAGTGCTAGAATAATTCTATTCCCATATATAGTTCACTTCTGTTGGTAATTTTTAGGCACAAAGATTTTAATCGTTACTATGCAATTAAGTTAATGTATCAATGCCATCAGATAAAATCATAAATTAGTAAAAGAAACATGCAAATTTAAGTAAGCCCAGCTTACCTTTGGCAGAACAGTTGTAGGTAGGCTCTTTCTTCCTTTTGGCTTGCAGGAACATTGTGTTGTTCTTACTCTTAGCATTTGATGACTCAGTGGGAAGTAAGAGAGCCAGTTTAAACCACAGTGCTATGAAAAGGAAACTATATATGGTAAAATCTATTTCTTAAACACAATCTTACTGCACGCATGAAGAACTAAATCGCCAAGTTTTAAAATGATTAGCATGGGGGAAGAATTTCAAGGGTAAAATACCTGATAAGTAATCTAGAATATTTTCCTTATGTTTGTTACATCATTGTGTAGATTAAAAAAAAAAACTTTTTTTTTCTCGAATGAAAGGTATGGTCTATTCTATACTCTTGAAAATTGAAAATATTTTATTATAATCATCCTTGCTTTTACATTTGAAATAATGCAAAATACGTGGTTTTTGCTGTTTTGACAGCATATTTAGTACACTATAGGAATGCTATTAATGAATTCTGTGACAACTTCTGCATATAGTAAGCTGCTTAGGTAGAATAAGTATAAATGTTTGATCTACTTAGCTTAAATTAAAGCCAAATTTTCACTTTTAAGATTTATCTATTTAAAATATTTATAAGAACGAGAGTGGGAGCGACTGAGATCTGTCCGCTGTTTTATTTCCTAAGTGCTTCCAATAGCAGGGTTTGGGTCAGACTGATGCCAGGAGCTAGGAATTCCATTTGGGTCATCAGCATAGACAACAAGGGCTCTGATGCTTTGGCCATCTTCTGCTGCTTTCCTCAGGAATTGGCAGGGAGCCGGAGTGCTGGGAAGTGCGGGGCTGGACTCTGATATGGGATTCTAATGTCGCAAGCAGTGGATAAACCTGCTGTACCAGAATGCTGGTCCCAAGAATTTTCTTT